AGGTTGCCGACCCCTGCCTTAGGGTCACCCTGAGTTCGAAATGACTTGAAGGCACACAACAACAAAACAACCTTCAAAGAAGTCACCCTCTCTCTGTGGAGGGCGAAAGAAGTAATTTCTGAACTCCTGGATAGGGATAATGTGCCCTTAACAACTGGTTTCTGAAGCAAAAACTGTTTGTTAACATACCTAAAATTTGGAACTTGCCAAAATGTTTGGATTTAAAATGGAGAGTAGCATTTTTCTAAAGTACAAATGCAAGGTATTGTAGGTACCATGACTAGGCATCTTAAATATTTATAGTGTTTGTTTATTGGGCACTGTGCTCCAGCTAACGTGGCTGTGCTCATCTGGATGTGATTTTTAACTTGTGCCGACACAGCCAAAATGATGTCTTCAAAAACACAGTCACGTAATGCATTTCTGATCTTACAGAAAGACATCATTTTCATAATGTGATGATACCCTGTGTAGTATAGCTGTAATATTGCAGCTGTTATAATTGGGGAAACTGCTTCATCCAGCAGCTTGCAAGGTCAGGCTACAAGGATTAAATACTGCATCTTCAGTCATGCAAACAGATGTTGGCTTCACATATTTGATTCAAAATGTTAATTATGACCTTACTGCAGTTATACTTAAACAGCAAATTTAAGGTTTGGAAAATAGAGCAATCGCTTCCCGAGCCTCTGTTGGCTTTGTAGGCTGAACGCAGATCCATTTCACATATTATTCAGCATCAAATCTATTTTTTTTCAAGTACAATAATGTATTCTCAGCAATCAGTCCTGTGGCCCTTCAACATTTTACAATTATAGTGCTATCATTGCACTTTAACTGCCATTGTTTCATCCTACAGAATCCCAGGATTAGCCGTTTAGGGAGGGTTACTTAGAATTCATAGCCATGGAGCTCTAATTCCTCATCAAACTAGAAACCCCAGAATCCCATAGGATACTGCCCTCACAGATAAAGTGGAATCATAGTGCTATAATTTGAACTTTTTGTTTGCCATAGGCACCCATCACAGTATTTATACCTAAAAATACAGTGTTTGAAAAGGTCGGTCATCATCCTTGCTGGCGGTATATGCACCTTTTGATGCTTTATGACACATTTGCCTTCTCCTCTTGATGTAGGGATTTTATAAACAAAATAAAGACAATGATTAAAGAGCAAGTTGTATCTTGATACAGCCATCAAAATGCCGTAATTTATGGACCAGAAAGCACTATAATGACTATCATTTAAAAATGAAATACAGAGATGGGATTCTTTGATTGGCACCAGAAATCCAGCATAGCTAAGCCTACTTATTTGTTTCTGCTCAGGTTGTTTCACCTCTTGCCCTCACCAACCTGTGAGGGATGAGGATTGGTCAGGGAGGCCAGCTGGAGCAGGAAAATGTTTATAAATTCTTCTCTATCTGTTCTATTTCGATCTACCAGAACTGTTTCTTGTGACTGCTTCTCCTGTTGAATCACATACACTTGGTGTAATATCTCTATTTCTAAATGTTTTGTTGATTTGGAAGCTGGATCCAAGGCAAATGAGACATGCCTGAATTGTTGTTGTTGACCAATGGCAAATCTATCATGGGGTTTTCTTGTCGAGATTTGTTCAGAGGAGGTTTGTCATTGCTTCTCCTGAGTGTGAGAGCATGTGATTTGTGCAAGGTCACTTTGACTGAGCAGGGTTTCAAACCCTGATCTCTGGAGTTGTAGTCCAACACTCAAACCACTATGTCACACTGGCTCTCACATGCCTGAATGCTGGTTTGAAATAATTTTATGTGTAATTTAGAGCAGATCTTTTAGGATATTAGTGTTATTAACTGAGTGCCAGACAGTAATCAGATTACTCAGTACTTAATTTTCAAAATATCCAGGGGGGAAGCCAAATCTGCATAAGTTAACATACATTTCTATCTTTAATTAGTTACACATCAGTTGAAGATGGTTTTTCTTTGCTTCAAGCTTGCCCAGATACTTATTTTCCTTCAATAAAAATTCCCATTGATCTACCATGAATTTGGAGAGCCTGAGAAGATTTTGTATGGCAGTCATCGAACTATATAGGGAACATAGGAAACTGCTTCATATAGAGTTCGAAGAATATTGACTCATTTAGCACAATGTGCTCTGCACTAATTGCCATTGGCACTCTGTAGTTTGAGGCATATGACTTCCTCATCTCTGCTCACCTCCTGGTGGGTTTGTAGTTTGGGGATGGTCTTATTCTCTTAAGGCCAGGCTGATGGTATGTGATAGGATTTTCTCTGTAGCAGCACCCCACTTGTGGAACTCCCTCCCAAAGGAGGGTCAGCCTGGCTCTATTCTTTCTGAGTTTCTGGTGGGCAGGGAAGACTATGCTATTTTGCTTGGTCCTTCAATCTTAAATTTACGGGTTTCTGCTGTGGCTGTTTCATTAACAGTTAAGTTTTAGAGTGATTCTTAAAAGGGACGGCTTAATAGATTTTTGTGTATTTTAGCAACTAAAATATTTTTTAAAAAATAATTAGTAATTATTTAATGTTTTTAAATTGTCTTTACACATTGTGCATTGTCTTGAGGGCCCTGATGGATCAAGAAGCAATAAAGAAATGGTACACAGAGAGAGACACAGAGGAGAACCACTCTAGCAGACTTTAAACCTCAAGTAGTTGTAATACCTAGACAAGCTCCGCCAGGTAACAGTGTCCCAAGGCATGTAGGGGTTCTAAATATTATCACCAGCATCTTGAATTCAGAACAAGAGCCTACTGGGACCCAATGCAGTTGTTTTAAGGTCAGTTTCTATATGGTGTTCCAGTTGGTAATCAGCTACTTCATTGTGCTGTAGGTTTCAAATTGTCTTCAAGGGTAGATCCACATAGTAATCTATGTTGCAATAGTTTAATAAGGAATTTACCCATGCCTAATCTATTGTGTTTAAGTTATCCCTCTCCAAAAAAAACCCCTGTAGCTGGCATATGAGTTACAGTGTCCATCTTGGACTCTAGTGACAGAGTTGGTTCTAGGAGTACTCCAAAATTATGCACTGCTGTCTCTTGAGGAATGCACTCCATCTAGGGTGGGTAGCTTGCCCAGTTCCTGGACTGGAGAACCAAAAATCCACAGAGCTTCCAAGCAATCAAAACTCAGCTGCATTTTGTAGACGTGCATCAAGTCACTGGTCTGTCATCTGCATAGCCTCAGTTGAGCTCATTGCCAAGCTCAGTACAGTAATCTAGTCTTAAAAGAAGCAAAGTATGAAGAACAGGAACAGCATGTGCATATTTATTTAATATATCTGTCTCCTATAGTTTAAAGAGAAAATAATTACCATGTGGCTTTCAGCAATTAATGAATACAATACATAAAACTATAAAGGTAAAAGTATTGCCCATTGACAAGATTGTCAAGTCATGTCCGACCATAGGAGGCGGTGCTCATCTCCATTACTAGGCCAAAGAGCCAGCTATACGACGTTAAAATGAAATTTTAGAGGTGAGTTGGAAAGTAATGAGAGTCTAATGCCATGGTCTGGGCAGGTTTGTATGGGTGGAAGCAATCCTACAAGTGAAATGAATCTAACCAATTCTGGCTTTTAGAGCTCAAAAACAGCATTTTAAATTAAACCTAGAAATTAATATGGAACCAATACCTCTGGTAGCTAATATTTATTGACATATATTTCTAGCTAAAATGACCCCCATGGCAATACACAGTTATTTTGGGAGTGGGGGGAGGGGATTACTTGGGAACAACAGACCCAAATTTGCCACATATTAGAATTGCCAGTTGGGTTGGGTTTCCAAATGTATTTGTCAGAATTGCACTTTTCAGTATAAACTCTGAACAACTCCATAGTAGAGGCAAACCATACCATGGATCAAGAAGCTTCATCTTTACATTGCACAGTAATCTTGTACCATCTGTGTTAGATGAATCTATCCCAATATAATTTTTTGCTGGTGTGATCGGTTTCTTAAAGATTCTGGGTCACTTTTATCCTGTATACTTTCATTTGAAACTTGAAAATATACTGTTAATCAGTTCTTGTAATCCTGAGAGTTTTTTTTAAATCTTAAAAATATTTTTTTATTCCCCCATTGTATACATAAGTGAAAAATGTTTTCTAGTAGACACTTCTGGTACAAGATTACTGTGTAATGTAAAGATGAAGCTTCTTGTTCCATGGTATGCTTTGTCTCTATGGACTTGTTCAGAGTTTATACTGAAAAGTGCAATTCTGACAAATACATTTGGAAACCCAACACCACTGGCAATTCTATGCTTCAGAATATTTAAAATCAGAAGAAAGTAAATCTGTAAGCTTCTGTCCTCTTTTGAGTAAAAAATGCATGATGAGCTAGTTCAGTGCAACAAAAAGCCTTTCCAAGAAAAGGAAGTCTCCTTTTGATCCACTCATTGTATCTGGAACATGCTGACTTGCATTCTTTCTTCCTGTTTCTTTTGAATTGGTCTCTGGCTTCAGAACTGGTGGGACAGAAAAAGATAAACTGCTAAGGCAATGTTTCTTTCTAGTTGTTTTCTGAATGGCAGAGCTTTGAGTTCATGGAAAAATATGCTTGAGTTCTGATGGTGACTTTGTCCAGTCAGTTTTACTGAATGCATACACCAACTTCCACATGTACATGCAAGATTGTTTGAAGCTTCTCTTAAAAGAATAATACTTGAGTAGTAAAGTTAAGGTGCCTGATGGCAGTAGAGTGAAATTATACAAAAGAGCAATGAGAAATCATGGAATATATACAGGATACATCATCATTAAATACATGTAGAAATCATTTTTGTACCTTGGAGTTCATAAAAAGACTTTACATCCTCCTCCATTTCCCATCAAACTACAATTGCAGTAGCTGCTGAAATTACAGAGTGGTGAGGAACTGACCACTCTGAAATGCATACCTCCACTCCTAAATTCAAAATTAATATACGGTATGTTATGGCCAGCAGAAGTGGCTATCACAAATGGAATACGGCCACTGTTTCAGTACAAGGGCTATTTTACTATATATTTTCCCTTGATGGAGGAGCTTGAAAATAAACCAATATGTGTCAAGAAGATGAAGACTACAGTTTGCACAGACAGATACATACACCTCTACAAATTGATATACCCTTGAACCTAACTCACCGAGAGTAATGTTTTATTTTTATTCTCAAAGTATTTCTATACCATTTGGCACAAAAGCAGTAATGGAGAAATACTTTTGGCCCAGTAGTCAATTTGGCAAGGATGCTTTCCAACAGTGGGTAGGGCCAAAGAGGCAGGGACACTGGCACATTTTCCCACCATGCAGAAAAAAGTGCAGAGCCAATGAAATGCACAGCTGTATTTCATGCAACAGCCTGCAATGAGTGCACAGCTTATTTCTCTGAAGGATTATTTAAAGGTTAAATACCTTTAAATACCCTGTTCCTTTTAAATACCCTGTTGTGTCCAGTTGATCACAGAGCAGCTAAAGAAGTTGTGGGCTGACAGGAGCTTCGTTGGCCAAACTGTATGTTGAAGACCAAGAGGTTTCTCTCTCTTACCCCCAAAGAATTTCCAAGGTGGTTTACAACAAAGTTGTTACTACAGTAAATTTAAAACAGCATCCAAAGCCAACAGAGATACATAAAGCATAATGACAACAGGATAAATTAAACCCTAATGTGACCCCAAATTGTTAAGATGACCTTATACCAAGCATTAGAAAACATCTATAAATACTCAAGCCTTGATCTGCAGCTCCTAGACAAGTTTATAAGAGGGTTTGTGTTTACACATGCCTATCCTTGTTCTGACTGCATCAAACACTGGCATAACACTTCTGTGTTCACAATAAATGTACTTACCAAGTAAAATGTGACGTTGTAAGTTGCCATCAGTGTTGGACAAAAGTACCTGCCCATAGATGCAGGTATCTTAAATGTAGTGACACAAGTGTTAACTCAAACCATATACAAGAATGCTTGTTTTTTAGAACTTTCTGTAAATGAGTGATTGCTCTTTTCAAAACAGTTTCCCACATTCTTGTTTTTTTAAAAAAGCAGTGTGAGTGCACAAATTAAAAGTTCTAATGATTCATTTGGATTTATTATCCTATTCAAGCTTTCATTTAAGAATTTAATACTCTAAAGGCACCAGATCCTGTGTGATCTTGGAAGCTAAGCAGGATCAGCTCTGGTTAGAACTTGTATGGGAGACTGCCAATGAATACCAAGTACTGTAAGCAATATTTCAGAGAAGGGAACTGGCAAAACCCCCTCCAAGTATTCCTTGCCTAAGAAAACCCTATGAAATTCATAAGACAGTGACAACTTGAAGGCGCATACATACAGTGAAGGAATGTCTACTAGGCCTACTTTCTCTGTTGTTGCTCTGATGGGTCTGAAGAGGAGAGCTTCTTGTATCCATGTATCCATCTTCTCTTCAGGTCTGTAGTTTTCTTATGAGCAGGATGATGGCATCAGGGCTAGCGCACTACCCTCCTTGTGTGTTGATTTAGAATTTATGTTGAACACCTATTATCTGTTTGCAGTTTTTGTGTTCTCAACCCAACACCTATTGTCAACTGCATGTCTTGCCTAGGGATGTAAATCTTTTTATTATTTCATATTCACATGCAAGAATGAATCATTTCAAAAGTTTTTTCCCTCCATGGAACAAGATTTCATTTCAGGACATTTTGTGTATTTTGGCATATTGTATTTATTCAAAAACTTTGTGTTTTTGCAAGGACACATTTTCCCCACAAAAACCTTGTTTTTTCACAAATTTCCCAAAAATACAAATCATCACAATCATCATTATCATCACTACTATATGATATTTGACCATTTTCTTGCCAGGGTGTCTCACTTATTTGAGACACTCTCCCCAAAGAGAAGAAAAATGATGCTTGTTCTTTACTAGTCTTGTCTACCTACAACACCCATTGCAGTTCTGCTTGCTGCCAAAAGCAATTGTGTTGGAACTGTGAGGAAACTATTTAGTGAAAAGCTAAATGTATGATTGAATTTTATTTTGAAACAAGAACTGAAGTGATCAATTTTAAAGTGTAAAAAACTTCCTCTTATTGATCTTTGGACAAAAGAGTGTCACAGTGTTTGAATGTCAATTGGCAGAATGCCAAAGAAAGGTTTAATTGCCCTTTTATAGATTATGGTTAGCAATGAGCTAGCAATTTGCAAGGAAAGATTTGTGTCTGATATTCAGATGGATGAAACCAAAAGTTGTTAGTTAGATTTAGATTAGCTGGACTGGGAATGTTCTACACTTGTCTGTTTGTCCCTTGTGGAAATTAGTGTGGGAGGAAGGGGAATTCTTGTTGTATGCCTTCAAGTCATTTCTGACTTACGAACCCTAAGGTGACTCTATCATGGGATTTTCTTGGAAAGATTTGTTCAGAGGAGGTTTGCCATTGCCTTCCCTTGAGGCTGTGAGAGCATGTGGCTTACACAAGGTCTCTCAGTGGATTTCCATGGTCGAGCAGGGATTTGAACCCTAGTCTCTGGAGTTGTAGTCCAGTGCAATCCAATCACTACAGTACACTAGCTAGAATTCTACCTATGCACAGATTAATTGGCTGGGACACTTGGACAGAGAGAGAAATGGTTGCACACTGGCATATTCATGGGCATACAGTTGTGAGGGTAGCAGGCAGTTGTGAAGGAGCAGGCAACGGTAAGGGTGAATAGGCAAACAAATCAGGAGAAAGTGTAGGAATTCTAGAAGTGTCTCAAAGAAATCTAGATAAAGACTCATAATAGCAGCAGAAGTTGAAAGAAAATGGCAGACAAAGGCAGAACATCACTCAGAACAGTATGGTCCCAAGGAAGAGCAGGTAGCCCCTGACATAGCCTTCTAATCAGAGCTTTGATTGAGAGTGTCAGTAAGATGTAGAGAATCTGCATTAACAGCATTTGCTGGACCAGAGTGAAAACTGAAGATAACATCTTGAGTACACAGAAACTGTATAAGAAAGAGGTTAGTTAACTCACTGAGAGGCTCTAGCGGTTTTGTTAAACTGAGGTGGGACTTTATAGGGCAATTGCTTTAACACAGCCAGTTTCTTAAAGCTGCTGTAACATCAGTTTATAATTGATCCCTTAAAAAGAAATGGCAACAGGAGAGCGAAAAAAAGAGAGAGAAGAAATAGCAACATGTTGAATATCCTGATATGTTGTGATATATTAATATCTAATTTTATGGTGTATAGATATATATTCAGTGACACACTTTGTACCTGTTATTTATAATTTTAAATATATTTTTTAATTTTAACTGTTGGACCCTCTGGACAATCTTGTCCCATGCCTGAACTAGATGGGATTAAGGCTACCCAGGAAATAAAAAGTGGTGGCAGGAGAATTTAAACAGGGGATAATTAGTAGAGTGGAATAAGCCTCTATTTAGAGATGTTAGTTATTCTGAATGAAGAGAGGTTCCAAAAATATCAGTTATAGGTGATGGAATTAATAGTACTGTGCCCCTCCTTATGAGAGTTGGTGTCCAGCAATGGTAACTCAGTGAAATTGGTTGCAGTGCCAATATCCATGTGCACCTCTATGGATAGCTAGTTTGGCTTGAAACGGATAAACGACACCACTGCTAATTGCAGTATACTTCAACTGTGACTACTAAAACCATGTCTTGTCAATCCATTACATCCTTAAAAAGGAATGTGAAAGACTGCAGAGGTTGAGAGAACAGCTTAACAAAGATATTCTGCAGTACTACAGAAAGGGCAGAACCAGGACAATAACAGCAGCTGGCATTGTGTCTTGAAGGCTTCAACAGTGCTTTTTATCTGACTTTGGTCAGCAATGTAGATTCTCTTTCAGAATTCAGTCTCACTGCTATAATAATGTCCTCTACAAGTAGCTTGCAACAGCTGCTCAATGAACATGACATTCTGAGCACTCCAAATCCTGCTCACTTTATAGTGTTGAAGCGTTCATAAAAGCATAGAGCTTGTCTATAGGGAAATTTCACTTAGTAAACTTCAGTAAATTTTTCTCATATCTCCATAAGAAGCCACACTTACCAACCCTGTGTCCATTGTTATTTGCAACAATTAAGGACCCAGGAATTCTGCTTTCTTTTACATCTCTTTACCTTAGCTTTTTTTCTTTGCTTCTCTATGTGGAAATAAGAACTGCTTTAACCTTAGTTCCTTCCCAAATGTTCTTATACCCACTCATGGCCTTGGTTGGATTTTGGTACACTTCTTTACTCACAGACTACAAAAGTAGTACTGTATAGTGTTTGCTTCTCCCAACGTGGAGAAAGAGAAAGAGACGCTCCCCATTTCCAGTTACCTAAGACAAGCATTCCGATTTCTGCACTATATTGCAGAATCTCTTTTCAGAATAAAACTATGTGCGGTGTACACATGCATGCATGTCTTAATATAAATCAGATATAAAAGCTAGCCTATTCGTTTGCACAATTGGGGCAAGACTGGCATTACTGGAGGACAACTGTTAATAATTATAAGAGAAGTATTGTGGGAAATGCATTGACACTTCACCCCAAGTCAGTCTACCCTGTATCTAAATAATGCACAGCATCCCCAACTTTTGTACCATGTAGGCAGTTCACCATACAATCCACACTCCTTTATAAAAGTCCCTTATAATCATATTATGTATTGCTTGGAGTTCCCAGCATCCCATGGAGGCATATTCTCTTGTCAAGAAGGTATCTGTTCCTCTCCTATGGAATGATCCCTTCTAAGGAATCATTTCTTTATTTCTCATAGTATGCTTTTTCTTAGTTCCATATTCTCAGTGGCAGCAGAGTTGCGATCCTTGGAATGAGGAGGCGCTTCTTAAGCCCTACTGGACCCCTCTTTCAATTTAGGTTGGATCTGCATTGCAGAAATAATCCAGGTTGACACCATGATAACTGCCATGGCTCAGTGCTATGGAATTCTGGGAACTGTAGTTTGTGAGACATTTAGCCTTCTTTGTCAGAGAGCTCTGAGGCCACAACAAACTGCATTTCCCAGAATTCCATAGCACTGAGCCTTGAGAGTTAACTTGGTGTCAACCTGGATCATTTCTGCAGTGCAGATACAGCCTATATCTGCCTTTTTCACCTTCTCTGAATCATCTACCTTAGATTCAAGCAAGCAAACTTATTCCTTAAGAGCTGGGAGTTTACCACACTGAATTCATGCCCACCATTCTATCCATCAAGCAGGTGGTTTGTACATGTGTCCTGTGGAATTCACTAATAGCTGTCATGGCCTTGCTGGCTTTTTGTCTTTCTAATGATTTTTCTTTGTTTGCCTGGAGAGCTGTTAATCATCAGAAATAGGGCTGCTACCTTGTCCTCCTTACTCGCTTGTTAAACTCATTTTAAGAAGGATACAGACCAGTTTGAGTAGTTCAGGGCAGGGTGACAAGGATGATAAGAGATAAGGAGAATAAAACCTATGAGAAAAGGTTAAAGCAGGGGTAGGCAACCTTTCCCTTTAAGGGCCGAGGGACTTCAGCTCCCAGAATCCCAGGAGCTATTGGCCAACATGGGACTATTGGCCAACATGGCTGAGGCTTCTGGGAGCTGAAGTCCCTCGGCCCTTAAAGGGGAAAGGTTGCCTACCCCTGTGTTATCCTGTCAGGCTTTTCACCAGGGGCTGAGATGCTTTGCCAGCAGGGTTTTCCCCTTGTGCTTATATATCTGGAGAGTTACATGGGGTGGAACTCATACTTCCCTCCATATATTGTTGGATTGAAGTCATAGCAGTCTGATCCAGAAGAGCCAGTGTGAGGAATACTGGGAGTTCTAGACCAACAGTATCATAAATCCTATCTCTGTTGTAGAGCTATTGTAGCTCTAGGAGTTTGTATAGCACTGTTAAGCACCAAACAACTCTATGACATGTTATGCATCTACACCAGTACAATGTTCACTAGCCCCTAACTTACAAGACTTCTCTTGTTGCTGGTATAGGCAAATGATCCATCTCTCTTTTCTCGATTTGAGATTTGTGGCAATATTAGAGTCTAAAGAGTAAAGCAGTCATGTTTGCCTAAGAGAGAATATTTTTAGACTATACATTGGTATTTTAGTCATAAATGAGTCCCTTGCTGTGTCTGTACTACTTCACCAGTTATCTTCTATATAAGGAGAAAATGGTTGTGTGCTGCCAGCTGCATCTAGTAGGGCTTCTGAATTTTTTTTGATAAGAAGAAAAATTGCCAAGAGGCAAACATGTTCTTATTTCCTTACAGTTGAATTACTGACCCTGCTCTTATATAACATTTTGTTTTTTCATTGTTTTTGCCATTTTGCACTGAATACTAGTCTCCAGCTGTGTCACCAAGCTATCATCACTGTGCAGCTGAGTTGTATGACTGGGGAAACATGCAGGAGAAATCTAAGAGCAGGCTTTATTGCTGGTCATATTGTTGACTTGTGTGTTTCCCAAGCCATTTATTAAGACATGCCCTTCTCTTTAGTGTATATTCAAGTCATGCTTCTTGTCTGTAAGATTGTTTGTTTTAAGTAGCTGGGCAAATGCACAGGTCTGTTAAACTTGCTTAATTTAGTACAGGTCTTGGATAGCTAATTAGCAGCTGTTGTCTCTTACTAACCTGACTAGGGACGTTATCACACGTGGGCCAGAAAGCGATAATAAAGTGGAAATGAGGCATTCCGAAAATAAACTGAAAATTAACCTTGATTCTGCAAATAGCATTACCTTAATTGCAAAATTAAAGTAAGCGCATTTAACGTTCACACACAAGCGAGAAAAGCCCCGTAAATGTACTAGAAATGAGCTTCTTGCACATGCGCAGATAGAGGAATGCTCGCTGGAACCATGGGAACAGCAGGGAAATGCTCCCAAATGCGCATTTGCTTTTCACATTACGGTAAATGCAAATTACCTTAATTGCGCATTTGCATTTCCTCCAAACAACCGAATTTCAAAAGATCTCTGTTAACACCAGTTTCTGTCCACTTTCTATCCAGTTTCTGTGCGATGTCGTGTGAAAACACGGGGCACTAATCCAGTTTCTGTTTGGATTTTGTGTGGATAACGTGGTAGGAGTCCATTGGCTTGCTTAGCACAGAATTCTCTTTGCTTCCACAGTGCTGTAATATTGAATGTATAAGAATAATGATAGCATCTTCAGGCAGCATTGAGTGGAATATAAAATACATTCAACCCAAATGCTTTTTCCTGACCTCTGGCTAATCCAGCACAGTGTTTAGTTCTTATGCCATTATGTTTGAGATGATGTGTTAGTACACAACAGAAGGAAATATGCTGGATTGAATGAATTGAAGATGAGTTTCTGGGTGTGAACAAGGCCAGATTATAAGGTGCTTGAGGCCCCAGATCAGTTCTGAAAACAGAGTTTTCTTGGCATGCATATATGAACAATTGTCAGAGTGACAGAATAAAAACTGAATAAGTAAACAATAGAAGACAAAAGTACAACAGACTGCAGCCCTGCAACTAGCCTGATCCCATGCATTATTATTGTTTCTCCAGTAATACATAAAATGTTGATTATAACAAGAATAACAATTTGTTGCAAC